AGGGTACGAAGAGACTCGGAATGGAAAGCCGGCAGCCTTGCCTTGTGAGCATCGAAAGGTTTTGTCGGAACCGATCCATACTAAACCTGATAAGTCAAAAGCAATTTCTCCCTGAAAGCCGTTCAGCCCTAACACGTCCTGCACAGCGCTAGGAAGTCGTTTCAAACCCTCACGGCCAAACTCTTTCAAGGCGGTCCGGTGCTCATCCATTGCGAGGCAGGCGTGAACCGCAGCTGCGCCTTGGCAATCGCCATGCGCCGCTTGGCTGAAGGGGAGACAGTTGCCTTGTCAGGGGGGAGATCTTTCAAACTAGGAGTCCTGGAAAATAAGTTCATTCCGTCCCAGCATCAACAGGGGCTTGAGCCTTGAGCAAGATGGCGAGAACAACAGGCGGCGATGCGAGCCAAGACTCAGACAGTGAGACTGACATCAGCTTACAGCCCAGCAAACAACTAGATTCCCAAACTAAATCGCGAAGTCCATGAGGTTGCACCACTTGCCTGAAATCCAAGCATTCCTGCAGCACTGCAGGGGCTAGGATCAAGTCACTTTTCGGGCTCCTGGATCTTGAAACCAACCACCCGCCCACCAGACCAGGCCTCTGCCAGACAAGGTGAACAAGCTGCCCCAAAGTTGGCGACAACCCACGCTAGCGAGACCTCAAAAGTATGTACGGTAAGGAACTCTCCAAGACATAAGGCAAGCTCTCACACAGCTTTGAGGGTACCGGTCTTACAACCGATCGATGCGAGAAGAAATCATAGAGTCATAGAGTGATACGCCACTTAATCCTTAGCAATTCAGAACTTCAAACGGATGGATGCCCGACTCCCTTCCGTAGACTCCCAAACCTTGCCAAGGAATGCGAGTCCTGAAAGAGACCAGACCAAGAGTGGACCCTGAGGCTCTGTTCAAGACCTCCTGGTGCCTTGGCCTTGCCCAGGAAGCAAGTGTTGGCAAGTGTGTCTTGTTGTCTTTAAGCTGTACAGGTCTCAGACTCAGCGCCGTTTTGATGGCCTTTGGTTTTGAGCGTACCTGTGATGATGTTGCAGGATTAAGTGCGCGTAGCTTTATTGTAGCTTTTTTTTAAGAGGGTTTGCACTTTAATTACTTCTGACCGTGGAAATATATAACTAATCTCCAGAATATTCATCAGGGGTCCAGCAGGGGAGCGCCCAGGTGCCACGTGGCGGCCCGCCACTTGTCTCTGAGTTAGATTGAGAAACTGTTTGCCAGAGAGCTGTCTGGACACAATCACGTGTTATCTGGAGTTGCAGGTCTTGGGTCTGCTAGCAGAGTTGGTCATCCAAAAATTATGGTCCCTTTTTGGGGTACTCTGTGTCTTTGGGGTGGTATTGTACACGGAATCCCAAAAGGGCACAATAGATTTGACAATCGGTTCGATAGAAGAAAGGTGGTCAATGAAAGGGGACCTTATATTTTTGAAGCCATCTGCAGGTGCATGAGGTCAATCAAGTGCAGGCTCATAATTACTGACACCAGAGGGCGTGGCCTCCGCTCCTCATCCTTCAGGCTACTAGCTATCACTGTTGCATTCATGTTTTCACTTGATGTGACTTGTTGGATGCCTCCGGAACTTCAGAGAAGCTTGCAGCTGCCCAGGGGGATCCCGAGTGGGTTCCCTTTTTGGCCTGCTAAGTTGGATTACAGAGCAGCTAAAAGCTGCAAGGGTTGAAAGGCATCCAGGAGAGGTAGAACTAGAAGCTGCAACGTTGGGCATGATATCAGCCTGAAGGTCCCCCCGGCGCGAGTGATAAGCGCGCACGCGATTAGCCAAAAACTTTACGAGCATCGCACAAATTGGGACATTTGTTGCAGTGGAACTAGTAGTCGCAATGGAGCTGAAGCTTCTGATGGGCAAAAGCTTCAATCTTCATGTCTCACGCCTCCGAATAGTTGACGCAAAGCCCACGCGCTCAATCCTGAACATTATCGCCAGCCCTGAAGCCCCACTGAAGATTGGATGCACCCAGGGAAGCAGAGAGTTCTGACAACGACCGGCCCATATCTCAGCTTCGCACCGTGCATACCCACGTGGGCTAGGGAGAGCTTGAAGATGAGTTATGAGTTCCGAGGACAAAGTATGGAGCGCATGGGCTTTGGGCATGGTAAGTCAAATGACCCTGACCGTTTGGAAGTGGCAGCTAGAAGTTCAGTTTCCTGCCCTATAACAGGCTTTGCTCGATGGAATAGCAAACTACCACATAGGTGGCATGGGCATCCGCAAGCGGAATTCTTCAGGAAACCTTGTAGAACCTGCAGCCAAGCTGATGACAATCAGGTCAATGTGAGACTTTGGGGGCCATGCCAGAACAACCGCCGAACATCTCCAACTGTCACGACGATCCTGACATGCCTCTCAAGATTATAGAAAGTGCACCCGAAGTAAAGGGGACGTAGAAGAGCAAGCCACGCAAGTCTTAAAGGTCCCTTGAACCCAAGACATCTGAGCAGCAAGTAGAAGACCGACAGCATGCAAAGGCTTGTAGGGATGTAGGGTTAGGAGAATCGAATTTAGGTGGACAGTGAAATAGAATGAAATAGACATCCGGATTTATGGGGTGGTGGGGCAGCTGTCAGGCTTTCAGCGTCAGCTGCTACTTTTCGCCCGCATGGGCTGCTGTTGGTTCCCAACTCTGGACGGCGTCTCATCAATGCTTTGGCAAGATTTTGGTCTTTGTCAAGATCATGGCCTTGCAGCAGTTGTAATTTGTCTGACGCCAGGGCCTTACGATATGCAAAGATCTTAGGATATGCGGCTCGCGTAGGTGTGTGAATTGGCCCATTAATTTGACCATATTTCCACGAAGAGACCTCGCAACAGATGGTCCGCGTTTCGCATGTGTGCTTTACGGGCCTCGTGATGTGAATCTTTCGCGTTGAGGGTGCAATGTCTCAATGCCTGTGGAGGTTGATGCGGGGTAGGACACTGCTGAAGCGGATTCCTTGAGTGCCCTCCTTATGATACTTAGATTTTCCGCAGTTCTGCAAGCATGCTCCATCACATTTACTATCAAAGCAACAATAATTACTGGTCACAAGATAGTCGTATCCTATGTTATTAGGAGTAGGGACTTTAGAAACGATCTTCTTCACATAATTGGAAGAACTGATCTCCCTTTTTCATACGTCGTTCCATTTTTCCTCCCTCGTGATGGGCAGGCGTTTGGCGGACAGCTTCTTGGTTGACTTTATAGGTAGGCGTCTGCAGTAGGGGGCGGCCATCAGTTTGAAGTGCTGCAGGTTTCAGAATGGTTGGCATGCTGTATTGCTTGGTTAAATCCTGAGTTTAGGATCCTCCCACCGCCCACGTGTACCCAAACTCGTGCCTGTGTTAAATGCGAGTGTTCGGTGAGTGACGTTCTTGTGACAGGCTTCATGATCAATCCAGCTCTGAGTTCAGAATGCTAGTTTGTTTTCTTGCTCTGTTTTGAGGTTTGGGCTGTTTCTGAAGCACAATTTTGCCAGGATCCTGTGTTCTAGCTCTGCAGGCCATTGAGACTTTCCTTCTCGGCTTGCTCTACACCTAAACCCATGGAAAGCAAGCCACCAGTGCTGAAGCTGCACCCGAAAGATTGATACACTCCGTCTTGTCATGCCCAACTTCTTGTTATCTGATACTGTGGAGTCCCTTGATTCGCCTGATTGAGGGTGCAGGGCTGATTTACTCTACTCCCATCCCATTGCATCCCTATGTCGCAACCCCATGGTAAGCACATCCTGCCCACTGGTACGTGAAATTGAACCGCCATAGCAACTGACATTTGAACTGCTAGCTGTACCCAAACATGGTCCAGAAACCTATCGAGGTGGCGGAGCGCCACATTGCTCAGTTTCGCTCTCTGGTGCCCAGGCTGCAGGTGTGCGCTACTATGCTCAGGCTGTAGGTCTTGACGAGCATTGCGTTTGGTATTGCTGTCATGTTCATAAACTTCATTGCTAAACATTGTTGCGGCTGTTGTTTCTTGTCCAGCTCTGGCCACTGCTGCGGGTGCTTATGGCCAGCTTTATTCTTGGCAATTATCACGCGTTTTTCAGGGTGCAGACTCTCCACCTCCAACTTGCAGGGCTGATCACAGTCCTCGGGGTTGAGTGGTCAATCCTGCTCCAGCTTAGGCGGAAGAACTAGCAAAGAATATTGTGCGGCGGCCTCAGCTGATGACATTGAACGCAGTCGCGTCTAGAAGAGGCTTGTCTCCTTTATCTTCAGTATTGGAGCCGTATATGTCCCAGAGCTGCTGCCAGGTGTGCTGAACCAGTCGCTTGGCAGCAATGTGCGATACCGGCAGGGCCATTCCTTTCTCTCTGTTTCCTCGCAACTTCTTACGTACGTTCAAGTACCTTGTAAGAAGCGCCCCTAATGAATCCACTCCCTGGCTACTCGACAGCTCATGCGTCCTGTAGAAGCACCCGCAAGTGGTAATTGAGAACCAGTGCCGTTAAGGACCATGCTTTGAGCCCACAGGAACTAGAGAATTGGGAAAGGCCAAATTGCAGTGCTAGCAAAAGTCAATGCTTAGCAGTCGTCATGGCGGCCATGGGGATTCTAGTCGTCCCAGCAAGCAAGCCGTGGCACAAGAGAATTAGGACAACTAGCTTAGTTTTTGCTCAGTCCATAGTGCTGTGTGGACATGAGCGTGTCCTTGGGACTCCGGTTGGTGATCCTTGTAATTGTCAAAGCTTTTCGACGGTTTCGGGGCTCTTTCGTTTCAAAATCAACCTTCGCTTTTGGAGACGCAAGGTTGCGATCCTCCTACGTCCTAGCTGCTGCTGTAGTTTGTGCATCTCTGCTCTTCGAGCGCTCTTTGGGTCTTGGACACTCTCGGACTGCGTACGAGCGCTTGGGGTACTTGCAGGACTTGTATTTATATACTATAAACGAGCACTCGATGAGCTCTCGGCCTTCACGCCATTACCTGTAGTGCCGAGAGTGCCAGTGTTTCCTTCCCTAGCCCTAGCTGCATGTGCAGTCCTTTGCGATGCTAGGCTTGGCTCCCCGAAGATTAACCCTTATTCGCCTTATCTAGACTTCCTAACTTGACCCATCCAAGGAGTTTCCATCTGGGAGCTGGTGGCGGGCTATCGTTTTCATCCGCGACGCAGCAGTGCGAGGCGGGCTCCACAATGACTTTTAACTTGGGGATCTTAAGAAATGAGGGCTACGGGCGTTTTTGATTAAATATAAGTGTTCTAGGGGTGTGGGGTTTAAGGCCAGGGTTTCGTACGTGTTTTGGGGTTCTGGGGTTGCGGGTTTGTGGGGGTTATGACTGCTGGTCCCTTCAAATCCCAGAGAAACTGGTAAGCAGAGAGGAAGTTTGCTACTGGCTGCGTAACCGGGAACTGATCATGGAGCCGGGTTGTTCATTGATGGGCTTCATCCAGAAAATGATCTCCTTGCATCGTACCCCCGGTAATCAAGCCAATGCCAAGCCCTCAGCATTCAGGCGAGAAGAAGCTGGCGGTAGGCTTTGACCTCAGCACCCCAGCGGAATTTCAGCAAGCTTTGTTTTGTTACGCGTTCCTACTTCTACGTTGTTATTTGTTGCTTCCTGGCTGTTGTTCCTGCTCCTTGCCTGCATCTGCCTGACCTGGGTTCAGCTTGTCTTGTTCAAGTTTCTGGCTGCATGTGTTGTGATTTTTTTGCGACGTTCGGCCTGTCGTGCATGTTGATTACATGGGTTGTTTCCAGTCGTTCGGTTCCCGTGGCGTTTCTGAATTTGTTTGCTAGTTTAGTCCCACGAAGCTTTGCGAATTTTTGACTTGAGCATCATGGTTCAAACCCGGGTTCAAACCTTCAGTCCCCAAAATTTGAGCCCTGACCCTAATCCCTAAACTGTGAAAGGTACGGAAGCTAGGCGCAATGAGGCGGAGCAGCGCTTGCGCACCTACGCCACCAACGTGCCTTGTCGTAGGGCTACTAAGTGATAATCTAGGTTCTTCACTAGAATCTAGAGCAAGCATCAAACTAAACGTACTGCAGGGTATCAAGGAAGGGGATACCTTGTGTTTACCGGGATCACCGAGGCAATGCCGAAGCTCATAGCTGCGGCGAAAGCTGGCATACCCCTCACCATTCCGGCTTCCTGAGCGCTTGCTGCAAACCATTGCGCAAGTCGACGGCTTGCTGCCCAGGGTTTAGGGCACTCGAATACGGGACCAGGATAGAGGGAACTGGCACACGGGAGACAAGGGGCAAATGGACGCAGCAATGCCCCTAAAGAACCAGCTCCCTAACGGCCCATCCGGAAAACGACCTACCCCATATTAAAACCTGAACCACAGACCATAGCACTGGGAGGGGTACCGACATCATGCATTTGCAACCCTTTGGAACCCTGCACAGGCACTTGTCAGAACCGATATCATCTCTGCAGAGCCCTGTGCACGCCACCCTTAAGAATTGCTGTTTCAAGAAATGTTGCAGGGGCGCAGGCTGGTAACCATGCAGGAGAAACACTTTCTGGTGCTAAAGCGGGAGTAAGATTGAGTATAGTGCTTGTGGGATTTTAAGGGTTTAGCAGAACTATCCACGTGGGATGTCAGGACTTTAGCCACAAACCGCCCTAAACAGTGGAGGAGCATCTTGGATGTCAAGAGCTTGCTTAAATACGAGAAGTGCAGGTCAATCTTCATGGAGCATTTCAGCGGGCCCGTCCAAGATTGAACACCTGCCCACGGTAGCCCTGTGCGCAGACGTAGCAGGATTGACAAACAAACACATGTGCGCCGAAGCTCTTTTTTTTTTAGGGCACTGGGGCTCCTGTAGACACGCTAGTGCCAAGTTAACACAAAACATGAGCCGTCGGCTTGCGTTGGCATCTGGCATGCTCTAGGCGATTTCAGGCGCAAATTACAACTGACTGCTGCATGAGTTTGATGTGACACCAGCATGGTGAATGGGAATAGATAGGCATGAGCATATTCCATGTTCTTGGCTTCGCTTTTATCCCGAAGCCTTACCGAACGGATTGCCTTGGTTTTCTCTTGTCAAGCAACAGGGTCAAAGAAGAATCAATGACAACTCCTATCCTGAAATCCCCCTCGAATGGGAAAGCTGGGTTGGCTAGGCACGAAAGTGTCCGCTTACTTCAGGGGCCTGCTGGCTGTTGTGTATGGCCTCTTCGTAATCCAGAAGTCTGAATGCTTTGAGAAGATGGCTGTTATATCCGACACATCGACCCACCCTGCCATAAGCCTTGAAGTCATCATTCAACCTTTGATTGATGTGAACTAAAGCTAGGCCGCACAAACACTTACAGCAATTTCCAGGACCTTCATTCGAGGTACACCTTCAGTATCAGTTTGGCCCCTGCGGTTGCTTGCGATCGGATGCCAATGGGCGTATGCGCAGATGGAAACAGGCAGCCTGCATCAGAGGTGCCTGCCAGGTCAGGGTTCTTCTCCACAACATTGCGGTGTAAGTTTGTAGCATGAGCATTCTAGGGCTCAAACGATAAGTCCAACCTGAGTGTTGAAATCTTAGACTTGGAACTGCTATCATGACAGTTACCACGCCATGCCCCGCTGTGCGGTGTTTGCATGAGCAGGCTTCCGGCGAGAAGCAGCGCCAGGATCTGAGTTGCCGGGCTCAAAGGCAACAGGCTCTAAGGACTGAAGGACTTTGTGCTACAACCCCAAGTCAAGCGAGAAAGAACCTAAGCCCAATAGGCCATATTCCAAGAGACAAATCCAAATGCTGCAGCCCCTTGAACTCGCACAAAGTACCCAGTAAACCGTTTACGCACTGCATGGTGTGTCTAGTTGCGGTAAAGCCAACGGCTGTTTCTTTCGATTGTTCAATGTGCTTACATTTTCGCTTCTGTTTTGGATGAACAGCATGTGCCCGGTGCCCATGAAGCCTTCCAAAGCTACAGCTCCATGTTTGAAGTTAGACGCCACCAGTTCCTCCCGCGGCCGTACAATTCAGGAATGGCTGCCGCTCTTGGCCATGTGCCGGAAAAGCTGGGCACTCAGGTTGAGCCTGGGCTACTTCGGCAGCTTCTCGAAACCAGGGATTTTGGATTTACGGACGTGCAGGGAATGCCGAGGTATGCATATGTGTCTGTTTTATGTAAGCCGAGTAGCTTGAATGAGAAAGATGATTTCTCCTGCTTGGGGGGCACGCGGGATCGAAGGCTCATTCTTGAGAAATGCGCATTTCGGGTTGAGTTCCAGGTGATTCAAATCATTTGAGCCTAGGGTTGGGACCAGGATTCAACTCTGTGAACGTGACGGCATATTCGTGGCCAATGTTTTACGATGGAAGGGTTTTTCAATGCTTCAGCCTTGCTGGCGTAATTCAGCTGGCACCTCGTATGGGCTACTGAAGTGTGGGATGCCTCATGCCATGTTCCTTCCGTAGCGCTTATTGTAGCCCTTGTTACCTTGCTGAGACTTGTGGGTTCTGCTTAGGGCAGATAAATCTGTGGACGCCCTACGCTCCTGCTTGTACCTCCGATCTTTGACTGGACATCCAGAGGTCACCGCTGCTTGGAGCAGAGGCCTGGCCTGAAATGCTATTCACACCGAAATTCTTGCATGGCCTTAGTGCTCTATAACCTAGAATAGCCAAGGTATAACCTGATAATCCCAGGCGCCCAATTATTCTTGGTCTTTTGCTTCTCGCCCATAAAAGTGCCTAAAAGGGTCCAGTGGGCGGTGACACGACCATGCAAAACGCGGTGTTTGCAGCCTGATCCCATGAATCCTGATCCCAAATCTCAGACAACTATAAGCTCAAGACCAAAGCGCAGAAAACCGTAGAAAGCACATAGAATGACAATGAAAAGGCGTAGAAAACCTTAGAGCGACCATAAAAAACCGCAGCACGCCTGGCGTTCATCAACGCTGTCTGATTACAACTACTGTACTCCCCAGAAAACGCAAGGAATGGCAGGACCCTCATAGAAATTCCCTCAGCCCCTCCTTCCCCAAAGCATGAATCCTGCCCCCAGGCTCCCAAGGCCAATGCTCGAACCACCTTTCTTTCATTGCCCATTTCCTACCTGGACCTTACACTACACTTCCGTATGGATTTGGCTGTGTCAAGACTCCTACGGCAACCTCAAAATTGGAAGTGGGTTGAAAGGTCAAGCTGTTGAAGACGAACTATTGAACCAATTGTTGATACTGAACAGCCTGTATGCCCCTGCGTACCTTCCTGGGAATCCCAAATCGTCAATTTATGGTCGTTTGTTTTTTTATGCGACAACCATGGACAAATTTCTGGTTTTCAAGATTTATGGGTGATTTGTCGGTAGGCTGCATTTTGACGTTTCCAGCTGCAAACTGCCTGGGACATTCTGCGGCGGAGATGGAACGCAGCGAATGCCTTCAAGCTGGGATGGACCCATGCGCCAAGAATGTCCCAAGCAGGAGCCGTGAATGATACAGCGATTTTACAGTGGTTGCTCTGAGTGTGTATAGGAGATCGAATGTTTCCAGTGGTTCGGGAATGTCTTCGTTTCCTGTCCGTAAGCACCTCTGTCTTGGCATATCTCGTTTTCAGGCTTCTGTCTTAGCTCTTGCCTGTGATTCTGAAGCAAAGATGTATGCAGGCACCAGCGACAGGGGTGCGCCGCCCACCGACGAATGATTCGGCCGGGCAATGTTGGATTTACATATAGGGTTTATGGCGAAAGGTACAAGCTTTCTAGGCAGTGCTTCTAGAACAGGAGTCGTCCTCATGTCCGGGGTGCGTCTTCAGGTCCTTACTCTTAGAGATCACTAGCTAGATCCTTGCTTTGCATGTAGGGGCTGGTGGACTACTGCTACAGTGAATCACTGCAGTGGACCTTCCCTGCCTAAGCAAGTCTGAGAAGTAAGAAAATCGATTTTTTCGCATTCACAGAGAAACGCACGGTGCCGCCATGTGATGTCGCCGCACCTGTTGCGCATTCTACTCCGTGATTCTTTTCTCTTCTCGTTGCTAGAGTACCATCCTAAATCCACGGGCCAGCTGCGAAGCGCCATTGGGCCATAGGACATTCTGGTACAGCACTTCCACGGAAACTTGTGGAGCTGAGCCACGCTTAGAGCCAACAGCTGAGAACTCAGTTCTTGCCGATTTTGCCCTCTTGGCAGGCTCGTCGCTTCCTCCAGTGCCCATGCCTAAGACAGTGCTTCTTGCAGAGCTCAAGGATGTCATTGCTGGGCACCAGGTGACGAAAACATCACAGTGGTAAACTCCAAGGCTCGAGGGTCAAGTGTTGGAGAATCTGATGAAGGGCCGCAGACTCTGACGTGGATCTGAATCAGTTCAAGCCATTTGCGCATTTCTGCGCACAAGATTTGCCATGCCACCGCAGCTCATGATAGTGCCTGTTTTGCTGCTGATGCTGCAGGTAATTCTCTTACGTGACGCCTTTCCCTGGCTGGCTCACAGCGTTTGCGTGCTGAGTCTTCCTGTGGAGCAATGCCATGGCTGCACGCCGCGGAGCCTGAGGGCACGTTTCCTGAGGCTCGATGGTAGCAAGCTATGTGTCCGATGGCCAACTGGCCACGAACCTACATCTGCTCGCTTGCGTGAAAGCAAACGAGATCTCTGGTGTGAACGAAGCCATTGAAGAAGGGGCGGACGTGAACTTTGCAAATCTGCAAGAACCGATCAACCTACAGACGCCGCTTCGCGCAGCTTGTGGTCTGGCAAACACAAAGATGGCAAGGCTTCTGCTCAAGGAGACAGCCAATGTTTTCGCCCACTTTGCACTTGATGGCTGGACCGCTTTGCACAGTGCGTGCTACAGCGGCCATGACCACTTAGCCCAGCTGCTGATAGAATTGCGGCTGTTTCAGAATGCTTTCAATGTTTATGATGTAGCTCGTGAAAACGAAATCTGTTCAAGTCTTGCGCAGCTTCCAAGTTCCTGTGCAGGAAGAGGCTTCAAGTTTACATGAGGGTACCTGGCAAGACGGATGGGGCCTCATGCACCTGGTGGCACTGTCAGTGACGGATCGGCTGTACAATCATGGCGCTGCCCTCATCCAGTGGCTGTTGAAGCAGATGCCAGGCGGGCCTGAACCCTGTATGATGGCTTAAGCCATGTAGGGCTGTGTCACGCTAAAGCTAAGTGCGCCCATCCCGATACAGCATGAATCTCGCTAACGCCTCAGCGAATGCAAGGCATACTACTGCCATGGTTGAATTGGTTGGGTACGTGCATTGGGTGCAGCCATGACCTCTTTAGTTGTGTTGCTTACAGGGTGGGACTGCTACACATATTTCAGGTGTTGAGCTCAATGCTCTGTCAAAGCACCCTGGGTTCTACGACTGGACACCTTTGCACGTCGCTGCCGCACGGGGCATGCAACTTGGGCAGTCAAAAGCCTTGAAGCTTTTTGTTGCTTTCGTTTGCTGATCTCCTGGCTGTATGGCTATTTTGGTAGCCTCCTGACTTACTTTGCCTTTGCAGGGTTGTGGCGAAAGCGCCTCAAACCCAAAGCTGAACCTCTAAAAATCTCAAGCTCAAAGCGATAGCGCTCAGCCCTTGCCGCCCTTGGCCGTAGACCCTTGTATTCTCAACATTGCAGGAGTGATTCAAAGCCATCCTGTCAGCCACGTCACGTCTGCGTATGCCCCGGAATTGTTGAGACATGCACGGGAGCAAGTAAGGACCCAAGCCTGTGGTGCTCTGCTCAAAGCCAAAGCAGACATCCTGGCCACCTCTGGAGACTTCCACGCCCTCTGCACGAACTTGGGATATGTCTCAAGACTGACGGCTTCACACGTATTCCACAACCTAGATGCATCCCTATTGTGGGCAGACCTTCGGGTCGAAAGACTTGGCTTTGCGATGCAGGTATTCATGTTTAAGTGGCAGTTGATTGAAAAATCGGAGGGATGGTATTCACACGGGCTTGTTTATGTGTCAGGGTTCAGAGCCCAAAAGTGAGCGCAGGCTCGTCACAGCCGTTTCGAGCGAATTCCCATCGCTGCAGTCCTGTTATTTTTCAATGCTGCGAAATCAGCTTTGGTGAGCAACCAGGGATTGTATAGGATTTTCTCAAAAGCCATGTGCCAGAGATCTAGATGCACATCAGCCCACCAACCTTTTGTCTAGGATTTTGAAGCCTACTGAAATAGCTGGAAGGAGGATTCCCCATCCCAACCGGCACTGCGGTGGCAGGATTGTGTTCAACGCTGCCATGCCCGCAGGTTTGAAGAGACCTGCAGATTTCCACAAACTGAATTGTGTGCAAGGCTTTCCTTGGCCACACCCCCTGCAAGCTGTTTGTTGCAAAGCCCGTGCACTGTCGTGCTCATGTTTAGGTTAGCTCGCCACACCTGAACAAGTTTGCGATAGCTGGAAGCATTGCTTCCATCGGTGCGGGCTTTGACAAGGCAATGGCTGCGAAACGCACGGACATATGCGCTGAGCATAAGGCAAAGATACTCGTACGTTGTAAGCCCATCTGTAAACCACACGTGAGAAGCTAGACAACGCCTTGCCAGGTGGAGGGCCGCCATCTGGACAAAGGTTCCTGGATCAGCTTAGTTTTGAAATCATCCGCACGTGGCTCCATCTACTTATGCCTTCGGGGCTCATGTGGGTCTACTCATAAAGTTCTATCTGTCTGTATACATACAGAAGCAAAGCCTGGGAAGCCCAGGCTTGCTCCCTCTCCACCTTGCTGCCTTTGGCGGCCATGCACGGGCGAGCCAACTACTGCTGAGGCAGGCGCCGCGAACGCCCCCTGGCGGCTTTAGTCCGTAGAGTTCATGGTCGCAAAGCTGCACTGTTAATGCTCATTGTGGTAGTAGTAATGCACAGTGGCAGTAGCTATACCATTAAGAGCGGCGCCAGCAGTAGCGGCATCAGCCAAAGCTGCAGGCGTTGCAGACCAGTATTCATAAAAGTACTGTTGCTAGCTGCTAGTTTTCTTCGGGCCCCAAGCATCTACCTCAGCTTACGCAGGTGGCAAGCTTTCAAACGCAAAAAATCCTCACCTGTTTTAACAACTTGCGAAACCTTGGCAATTTTTCGAGCATATGAGAATCCCAGGACTCGGTGGGGGTGTGCTAGTATACAGTAGCGTCCATGCTAAGTGCTCACATGCGAGCGTCTTTGACGTTCCTGCTTGCATTAGACATGTTCCACTAAAGCCCTCTTCTGCTTAGGCTGTTGACTGCCCAGCACCAGCGTAGAAGGGAACATAATTGATAGAGGCGAAGGGGGGCTCCTATTACAAGTAGCGCTAGTCGTGACGCTGGGACTGGGACTAGTACAATGGAGCCCGCCTTGGCTTTATGAGGGCCCCTTGTTGAGGCCAAGTTCGATTAAAGGGCTCCTGCAAGCTTCAGCCCTCTCATGCGCTTGACATTCTTCTGCTTGTTATCTATACGCATGAGCACTGTGAAGCCTAAACCGCAAATCCAGAAAACGACCGCCAAAACTATGTACACTGTCAATAACAAGCTGTGGAGCACGCCACTATCAAATGAAATTGCGCAATTGCCCTTCGTTCGGACCTGGAGTCACGTTGTTCTAGAACTGCTCTTGAGTAGGGCGAGAGCGTTCAAAAGCTCGGGCCAGTATCCATTTACTTTTTTATGTCAGCTATGTCATGGCTCTAGGGGAGTTATGCAGGAAGCTAAGGCTTTGCATCATGACGCACCGACATTGCTGGACGGTGCTGCTACATGCAGTCTGGAGCAACAACGTTGAGCTGGTACAGGAACTCTGCAGACAGGGTGCTAGGACGCTCGGCAGTACTCTAGTGGTCTCTTTTGTCTCGCAGATTCGTGAGGCTGACAATTCTGGCCTGTATCATCTACAATTTTCCCTCGCAGAGTTTGAGTAGCTGCCAAATAAGTGGTCCTTGTGGAGCACGTGCGAAAGCCCTTGCTATCAGGAGAGTGTATAGCTAGATTGGTACATGCCTGGAACTCTCCATGCCTGATCTTTTTGGTTTTGTAGATGTGTCCTTTCCTGTGCCGAGGAAAGTCATCAATGAGGCAGACCGGCGAGGAGGGACCTCCTGGCCAGCTAAACCTTTTACCTTGTTGGAGGCTTATGGACAGATATAAGCAGGGCCGCAGCTGCCCCAAAATTGGTTTCAACTAGATGAGCTTTGTTCCTTTCTTGTAACTCCAATTCCAACTGGCCGACACATGAACCTAGAAGTATCAGCTCCAAACTAAACTGAAAGCCCGCAAGGAGATGGGACATCCTGGTCGCCTATCTCTTTAGCTGTTGTTCGTGGAACGCCAGAAGCTCGAGCAAGGTCGGAGGGCTTAGGACTGAGACATCAGGAGTTCTGCTTCAAGTGTTGTTCTTCAGGGCGTACAGGGTTTAGACGGACTATGGTTTCGATATTGGGGTCAAGTAGCGCAGCATTGAGCTCACGAGCATGTGTTGCCTGGTGGTTTTACGGGAGAGTCGCGAAACCCCTTACTCATTTGCAGGGATATCATCTGCTGACCTCTTCACATGATTCTAAAGGCCAAGCTGGGTTGAAGATGCAGGCGAGACTGCAGTCCTACCTCTAGGCAGGATATACTGAAGCGTCCGTGTTCAAAATAGTCTATCAGCTGAAGGCTGTTGCGCTTAAGAAGCTTCACCTGGACGCCTTCTTTTTCAGCTGTAGAGTCGGGGTCGGCTGGTCTGTTGCCAGAAACTTGCTCACGAGGCTCAAAAGATGAAGGGGTCTGGAAGCTTTGAGCGGGGCCAAAACTGTCAGAACAGGACTTCGGCGCATATTCGAATATGGTTGAAGAGGGTTCTAGAGGCGATCATGCTGGCAATTCTTCAGGCTGTTACAGTAGATTTAACAAAATCTGGATCACCACCCTGACCCTGCAGAATCCGCAGTCTGTCCGGAAATCCTGGGCTCCTACACCCCAAAACCTCTTGCCAAAACGGCTTCCAACCCGAGACCCCCAAACTGAAAGCCTAAACCTTGAAGCTCTCAACTACTAACCCTAAATTTCGAATCTGAACAGCTGCCTCTTGAGAAGCTAGTGCCTGTGGACTTCTACGGTTCCGTATACTACTTTCCAGTTTTTGAGGGAGGAGTATGCAAAGCAAAGCCCCAAAGCTTAGCCTTACCCGCCCAGGAGATGGTGCAGCTACTTGTGGAATACGGAGCTGACCCGTTGGTGCGACTGGCCTCCTCGGACTTCCCGGGCACTGCCTTCATCAGGCATTAATGGGGCCTGTAGGATTCCAATCTTACAGTTCCGGCCGAGGTTCAGGTGTAGCCGGGGCCTGAAGTGGTGAAGATGTATTATACATGTTTGTTTGCTGAAGCGCCATTGAAAGAGGGAGCGCCAACCCAGGCCAGCATAGGTGTTTGCTATTTCTGGCTGCAGAATGCCATCTATGTGAGGAAAGACAATGAGGACCCTAGAAAGATGCGTCACAACTTGGTTCCAGTTTGATGTCTGGACATGTAACGGCCTGTTACTGCATTGTGGTTTTTCTGGATGGCGAGCAGTGCTATGTATAAGGAGGATTCTGGAACATTCATTAAAAGGGTGAAGATTCACAAAGCCTTGCTCTTTGCATGAAGACTTCTGAACCAAGGCAGCCAAGCCAGGCCAAGCTTGCGCAACCTCATGAGGCGACTCATAAGAGTTCTTATCACAAAGAAGCAGAACCCAGTGATTCCTGGCAATTGGTAAAGTGTGGTGGCAAGGCGCAACAGTCGAGGCATGGGCCTTGTCCATCAAGACCTGTTCCATAAAGCATGCCCCGGAATCCTCTCCTTCATTCCTCCAAACACCTTCACTCAACAGGCATTGCTCACTGGCAGTCCCGGATGCAGCCGATAACAGATGGAGCGGACCTGATACACGCGTTTCCTTGCTTCTGGAGTCTTACTTGGAAAATGTTACGTTCAACAATTTGCATTCTGCAGAAACATCTGCATGTAGGCAACCTCGTGTTGACAGCACGTTTTTGTTGTGCAGAAACTCCCGCGGATGATCCAGAGGCCTGATATATTCCAAACTTGACTCTCCTGTTTTTCTGTACATGGGTACAAAAAATGTGAGGTTCTGGGTCCGGCTTGATAATCTGCTTTGGCCTTCTTGGGATCGGCCTGAGTTCGTGGCCTAGCAATAGGCTGCGTTAGCCGAATCTAGCGCGCAGCATTAGTTTTCGTGACGATCGTGGAAGTAAGGCTCCATCTTGCCATCTGCCGAGGATGTAGCACCTCGCCGGCATTTTCAGGCGTTTTGTTGATCACCTAACCTAGCCAGCGCCTGTTTTAAACATGCTTCCCAAACACACATTGCGACCTGCATTCACCTATAGTGGTTTTCATTGCATGTTCCATGTTCTTTTCCATGTGATTCCCCATTGTTGGAGTAGTACACCTTAACCCCAGCAAGAGAATAAGAATAACGATATTACTCATAGTAATGAATGCAGAACTAATGGGAGTAATAATAGCAATGTTCATAAGAGGTACCATGGTACGATCTCTGGTGGCACTGCTTCGCTCCACACATCAGAAGCCCGCTCGCTTGAGCACCACCCGACCGCCCCTGACTGGCTGCTTTGCTGAGACGAGAGCCTTTGGGCCCATAGGCTTTCAGAACCCTAAGAGAAGAAAGTGAGCCCCGACAATAAAATTTTGAACCCTAATTAAAAGAACAAGGCTAGCCCAGAAATTGTTCCTTTCATGTTGTGTTATTCCTATCCTACGGCTGGTGTTTGGGATCTCATCAATGATTGTGGCGAGCAGCCGTTTACTCGGCAAGTGGTGTAGGGCTTTAGATCCAGGGTCGGGTTTTGTCATCGGCACAGCAATTATTCGAAGACCACGCCGCGCAGAACGACAAACTTGTAGCAGGTGATTCTAGAGTTCGTCCGCAGGTTTGGAGCAGTCTGGAGGCAATAAGGGTGAACTCTCCTCTGGGACCAACAAAGGGCCTTCCCTGCCCAGCTAAGGCAGAGGCTCCGCGCCCTGGCAGGATCTGAAACCCTCGAAGCCCAAGCTTCGAGGAAAGTCGGGTGCGCTGACACAGCGTTCAGTGGACATCCAGGACGAATCAGTGGCATGGAGCCTTAGAAGGGGTCCTAGTCTAAAGGGTTAATTCGTCTTTACACCCCAAACTCTAAACCCTACAAACCCTCCTCCCCGCAGCAAAGAATGAAAGCACTATAGCCCTAAAGGAGGAGGCTCGGGAGCGGCTTATCAGCAGCCCTACCTCAGAGGCGCAAAGCAACGACCCGGCCACTGGGGCTCCGACCGGTTGGGCTCCGACCGGTTGGGTTGGTAGGGCTTGCGTAGGTATCAAGAAGTAGAAGTAGTACGAGAGGGGTGGCACAGCAGTGTGGTAATGAAGGGTTCAGGATTGTGATTGAGGACCGGCATGAAAGTTTAGAGTTAAGTGAAGAGAGGGTGACATTGGGTCCTGACTACCGAGGCCAATTTCAGCGCATGTCCTGATGAGGAATTTTGTCTAAACTCCTGAAGGCCTATATTATACAGGTTCCTCATACTGGCTTCCTCGGCCCAACCACCCAGGAGGAAGAAAACCCAACCAGGCATCCGACGCTCACCGCTTTCAACCTTGAAGAATAGCGCAGCCGATCTACACAGAGCTGAGAACTCAGATCACGTCAAACCAAGTGTAAACAGGCTCCAGTCTGCGGCAAATCAAGACTTTGACATCAAGAACCTCATCTTCTGAAACCCTCTACCTTGTAGACTCTAACAGACGCTTCACAACTACATAGTAGCATCACTAGACCCTCAACCTGAAGTCTCAAACCGCTGGTTTTGCTGCCTCCCTCACTCTTTCCCCTGCCCTTACTGTGGGGCGAACAAGCTGACGAGGCGGTGAGCTTCTTTCAATGCCTGGCTTGGAAGTAGGCTTCCTGCACACTTCCTAACGAACTGCTTATGGTACAATTCCATTTCCATTGGCCACACAAGAAATATCAGTTGTAGCTCAGGTGACCTTCCGGACCAGCCAGGGATGGTCCCCTGCCATCTTAGCTGTCCTCCTTCAGACGGTGGACGCAGAGCGTACCTGGCAAATACTGTTTTGGTGGCAGGTCCAAGATATTGGCTCTTGATGGGCTTATATTATATCATTTAGAAGTGTTTCGGTGATGGAAATAGCTACAGCATTGCAGAACAGGCCTCTCGATGTGTTGACTCTCAACATCACCATCATGATCACCCCTTGTAGCGCCCAGCTCCTCTACGTGCGACTGTCAGCCCAAGGAATGTTTAAACTTGTGTACCCAGTCCCACACCTAGAGCCGGACAGGAGTATGTGTGAAAACTCCACCCTGGAACATAATACTCATATAACCACATAACCAAGGCCGCTACCCCAGGCTGGTGATAGCAGGTGCTGTACTCAACCTTATAGGCGGGTGCCAAGAATATCTAATTTGAAATCCTGCGCCCAATCAAGGTATGGTTTGCCCGTTTCCCATCACTCGGGGTTTTCCTGATCGATCAGCAGGATCCTTGATCGGAATTCAGCTTTCTTTTGGTCACCCCATGCTGGTCAAAGCTTCTAACAATATTTCGTTTTGGAGCCTGCGCGCTCGTTCTCTCACGAACCTCTCCTTGTAAAGTGCATCAATCGGATACCCAGCTTTGAGTTTCGCAGGGTTTCTCAAGACCATATCTCCACACACACGCATACGTATATCTATATATATATATATAGATATGTACATGTTCATGCATGTGCTGTAATCCCAGGTTCTAGGGCCGAAGTTCTGCAAGAGCTCTTTGTGGGAGCTGTGTCCCCGCTGGCTGACCTCGAGGATGACAAGCCTCTGCTGATCCCGCAGAGGTTGCAGAGCTTCAAAGACCAGCCAGTTGGGTTCAGCCCATATCGCTTTATGGCTTTATGGTGCCAAGATGGACTGCAGGGGAGCAACATGGGTGAACATAGGGCTTATTCCGCGGCTTGAAGCTTGAGGTTCCCAGATGTTGCTGCCACCATGGTGAACATGGCCATTAATGAATCTGGGTCCGCATTCTTCTCAAGAAAACGGTTTATCCCAACAAAACCAAAGGCCCATGTGCATGTGCATGTACCACGGGAACACATCTTGAGAAGTCATTGGAAGTTCCTATCATTTGCCAGCCATAGCCCAGGAGTTCATCCGTCTCTGCAGGGGCCAAGCAGCGGGAGACGTCGAACGGATTCTGCACTCCACACTCTGTGCAGCATGTCACCTCAATCGGATGCAGTTGCTTGATTCTGAATTGGAATGTGTTCTCAGACTTATGTTGTTGGCATTGGTAGTATTTTGGAGTTGAAGTTTGACAAGTTCTTCAAAGGAACTTACGTGTCGTGCAAGTCCCAACTGTTGAACACATTTGGCTAATTTGCGCACGGGACCGTATACCAGAGACACACTAAACCTTGAGCTCTGGCAAGGATCGTCCAGCACCTGCTTGAAGCAGGCAACTCCTGGGACAGCATCGGGCAATCAGCTTCAGTTGCCGGGAGATCTAAGCCTGTTCTCAGTATTGTGTGAGTTCTCGTGGGAGGAGGTACAAAAGTCAAGGTTTTCTGGCTGAGGTGCGTGTTATGCCTTATGGCTGTTACGATGGTGGTGGTGACAAAGTAGCCAGTCTGGACTTTCAGGGTTCCATTCTTGGTTTTTTATGGCTGTTATGCCGCAAGATTCCAGAGGGAATCCTAGCTAAAAGAGAAAGCCAGGTGGGTGCAACCCCCGCTGCGAGAACCTGATGCCCATCGAGCAGCGACCTTTGCACATTGTAACGTCGCACGGCTACGGACGGCTCGCTCAGCTTCTTTTGGATTACAAAGCGAACCCACTGGAGGCCCATTCCCGTGAGTCTTCAAAGCCACTTGAAGTAAGGAAGATTGAGGGCTCATGTGCCAGGACTTGCATTCCCAAGTTCCCCCAAGCTTCTTTCAGGCTTCAAGGCTTCGATTCCTTCAAGCTTGGATTCCAGTGATGCAGTGAAGGAGTGTGCTTTCGAAAAGCGTTTGAATCCCAGTATGATCGGCGCTAGGGAAGTTTCTGAAGCTAGGGCAAGATCGCCACCTGAAGCGGACCCCATGCCAGGCAAGGATTTCATGTTTGCGGACCTGATATTGACCATCATTCAATAGACTTCTACATGCATGCATCTTGTACAGCATGTTAAGGCTTTGGATTTAGGTGCACTATTCTGTGTTAGCGCTTACAGGGACCAATGCAAACGTCTCTGTTCTCCAAGCGCTCTCAGCCCCCAGTCATCTCAGAATCGAGCCTTGGAATTTTGAGGAGAACCTCTGGACCTTGCCTTTTTTTTAAGGGTGTATTAAATTCTTTCCTCTCACACCGCTAGAGAATCAAATCCCAAAGACACGCTCGACTATAGCATTCTATTGAGTTTGGCCCTGAATTCGAGACATCGACCCTGAATCCTAAAACCAAGCTCTGCCCTGGCAGAGTCCACCGCGACGTCGCAGGCAGATGAGAATCGTCAACGGCCGGTTCTGAAACTCACGGAGTTCTTTGAGCAGCAGCTGCAGAGTTTGCAGGCACGGCGGGCCTGTTTCCATCGGCATTATGCAGAGAAGGGTTATGCAGCGCTTTTGATGCACACTTGTTACGGAGCGTGAAATGTATATGCATATGCTTATATATGTATATATGGGTATATACACATGAATATTGGATATAGAGAACTATGCACATATATATATATACACATACATACAGGGCTACAAGGTGTAGAGGGCTGGGGGGTTCAGGCCAGCTGTGGCTTTGGGATTGTGATTGATGGATGCAGGGGCTTGCAGGTATTGGGACCCACTGCGGCATCGTCCTTTTCACTCCCCATTTTTATTTGTTGAACACCTTGGACCTGCCAGACACCAACACTGGAGTGCATCGGGCTTAGTTTGTAAGTCTATAGGGGCTTCTTACCAATTGGGATGCAGGGCGCTGCACGTGATCAGGATGAGCACTGGGTACTGGAGCGAGAAGATATGTTGAACGTTGTGTGTCAGGTTTGACCGTCCCTCCTGGTGCAGTAATAGCATGAACAAGGAAACCGGTCAGGGGAGTGCATCAGTGAAAGTCCCCAAAGGCTTGAATTTGGACAGCAGGCATTCAGAGCAAGTGATACACAAAAATTGTGAGAACTAAGCATTAGAGGGGTGTCCCAATCTACTGCCCCTAACAACATGGCGGGAGTGAAACTAGTAGGCACCTTGCTATGGAGTTGAATCTCTTGCGTACGATCCATCTTGTCTTGAGACCCGCAGGCACGAGTTATGGAGTTGGAAGCGCAACTTTGTGTCGGGCAGGCCGAGAGTGTCTCTCGGCCGTTGTTGGACGAAGTTTTTGAGTTGCTTGCTGGCCCCTGCCGATGTCTGCATTTGGCTGCTGAGGACCTTTTTCCAAGCCCCCTTTGTTAGGAACCTTTTTGGGCCTACGTACATTATCCTTCTCAGAATTGGCTGCATGTTTACGGGTGCTACAATAGTGTGGCTCTTCTGACACTTCGAGTTCGAGCTGCAGGTGCTCAAACAGGCAGCGTTATGTAAGTGTTTGTTTGGTCGCTGTAGAGTCCTCACAGGAGTAGCCTACAGGGTCCCTGCTGGTCCTCTGAATTTAAGCTCCCATGAGTGAAATCTTTGACCTGGTCCCAGGTCTCTGCCAAGTCGTCCCCAAAGACGCGCGGTTCGTCTCGCGCGGGGCGCAAGACGGGTGGTGGCCCAATCGACCTCGCGAGGTACCTAAGCCCTTGGGGGATGACAAGCTTTCCTTCCTTGAATATCTTGCAAGCGAATTTGCCTAAGCATTTAAACTGTAAGATCTTGTTGTTCAATTCTGCCCAATTTGAGCAAGCACTTGGCTTGACTTTCCTCACCCGACCGAGGTACGAAGCTCTGCTGCACGACTCCCGTCTTTGAGCATTCGGTGTGTTAATGACGAGTAGCCGGTTCTGTCTGTCAGAGGCGCATATGCTTCTTGTAATGGTCAGCTGTGCCTGCACCCATATCAGATGATTTCTCGCACAGGGCATCTATATGGAAAACTCTGGGCCTGATCACAGAAATTACAGAGGCACAGGTAGGCACTAGCATTGAGATTCACTCTGCGAATAGTTGTGAGAAAGACGTTCTCTTATGGGGATGCACGCACCGCTGTGCCAATTCATCCTCATCAAGGATGGGTCCCAGCTTAATGATCCTAGGCATTCGGCTCGCCGCTCTCGCAAGAAAAAGATTGGGCTTGCTATAGGAGCCTAAGGACTTAACAGCCACTTGGCCAGACAATAGGCGCCAGATGACTATCTCAGACAAGCATACACCCGAACTCTGAACTTCAAACCCAGTTTCCAACTTGATTGCTAGATCCAGACGTTACATGTGCGCAGCCAGATACGCTGCGCGATGATTCCGAACTTGCATGGAGGTCAGCATTGCCCAAGCATTGCTGCAGCTTCGAAGTCTGGGTTTTCAGCTCAGCGATTTGCGAGGGCATACAATGTTCCCTGGATAGGAGCATTTTTGGAAGTGGGTCGCCTGGAGCTATTTTTTGTGAGATTTGAGGCCTGGATGTGCAGATCTCGCAGGTCCTGGTGAAGCCTGCAACCCAGGGGCCCTGCTCCCCAAACAAAAAGTCCTCAAGGCTTTTGCTTGATCTTTTGGTTGCACCAGTCTCTTGGGGTTCTAGTGGATTGTCCTTGCGGTATCTACTGGGTTCAGAGGGTCAGCGAGAGAGGAAGCAAAGATAGTATGGTGCTAGGGGCTACAGGGATTTTGAAACGGCAGAGCCCTTCTACACATGCCCAACATAGTATAACCCGAGCACGAATAGAAGGCATGCAACTTTCAGCCAACACTCAAATTGAAAGGGGGAGGCTCATTCATGGCACTGCCAAGCCTTCAAGCTCTACACGTTCAATCCCACATTGCCAAACCCCAACCTCAAAAGCATCAGCGCAAGTCTTAAGCTCAGAAGCAGCCGAGGTTCCAGGAGTTGGCGCAGGGCCAGATAACCCTGGCTGCGATGTGCGACACGGCGCGGCCCTAGATTTTCAGAGACTTGGGTTGTAGATGTGCTGCATGAAAAGCTTTGCGAGCTGCAGTTGTCACACGTCGAACGCAACAATGGCAAGAGCCGAGCACCAGCAGTCAAGGCCTATACGCATTTACACCCCCAAAGAGGCTGCGTTTGAAGCCTTGCAGAAAGCCTGCGAGACTTCCTCAAACCCCCAACCCTTAGCCCGTCCTTTTTTCTGTTCTATCCTAAACCCGTGAAGCAACCGCACCTAAAAGGTCGTGGCTGTTTTGGACCATCCCGTTCTTCCTTTTCTGCAACCTGGCCTCCGGTCGCCCAACGCCTTTGTCCTCAGTTGTCCGGGTCTTTCTTTGCCCCCCAGGTTGTCATTGTACTTGTTTGGGGCTTTGGAGATGGTGGTGTTTCGTGGCTTGATGGGAGCTTGGCTGTTTAACTGTTTGCAAGTCTATACGTGGCAAACTGTAGTAGATGCAGAAATGAAGTTGGGAGCCGCTGAACCCGTTTTCCGGGCACGGCCATGGGTTGAAGGTAAGGGCCACGGTTCAGAACGAAAGTGCTTCTTGTCCGTCCTGTTTTGGGTTCTTGTTCGTTCGGGAATCCTGCGCTAGACAGCTTCATGTTAGGAAGTGCCCATGGAATTTGTGACCGGAGAGCATAAGCCCCTGCAGATGCTCTGATTTGCAGGGATGGCCCGACAACTTACCAGTTCCTTGTAATGGAATTTTGCAACATCTGCGAAGGCCATGCTCATCGACTTGCTCATGTATGAGGAGTCATGTGGAGCAAGGATGCTTGAAATTAGGTGAGAGCTTCTAAGTCGTATGCTTCCTTGTGGGTGCATGTAGGGGTGGCTCGGGCACGTGCCGAACATGTAGCCGTATGGCTATGTTGGAAAGCTCCCACGCGAAAACTCTAATCCGAAATCCGCCAAAGACATGAAGACCTGAAGTAGCCCCTTGTAGCAGCACGATCTGAATGTACCTTGTCTCTAAGTCTTTAATCCATGCTTGAGGATGTAAGGGATTTACATATTGTTTAGGCTTGTCAGAACCCTTATGCAAGCTAATGGATAAAGTCTGCGGGGGCCTCCATAAGAGAGTGAATACCTGCTTGCTGCACCACACAGCAGAGGTCTCACACAGCAGAGGTCTTCAAGAGTTAAGGTCGAAATCCAACATATCTTCTCACGTAGCTCTTGTTCGACAAGCCCCGTGATTCATTCCCTCCAGATTGTGTAGATAGATGTGATATTTGGCAGTGTGCCCGGTATGCCTCCAGCCAGGACGCTAAGCTGCTTCCTCTTGCACTGGAACTGATATGCGCGAACTGCTATTCAGCAGGCGAGGCAGCATCAGCGCGACTGTACTTCCGTCTAAGGATTGACACAACATACTTGTACATGTAACTGAGCATCGCTAGGAAACTGCCAGACATTGTACATGAGCTCGCCATGGGAAGTTATTGGTTCGGCATGATTCAGGCTTGTGAGGTCCTTCTTAGGGAAAGATGATCAGGAGCCCCACCGAGCATCTTCGCCACCAAAGTTGTCACATGGTGTCATAGTGAACCAAAACCCAAGTCTTGGTCAACCTCTACTCGGCATTTTTGGGAAATTGTTTGTGTGAGATCTCCCAAGAACATGATCCTTCAAACGTTCTATATACAACAAATTGCATAGTCTCAGGTACATGATCCCTCTAAGCCGGAACTGTAAAAAGCGTTGGCAGGCGACTTCCTGGAAGAGATTGAGAAGGCCTCCTATAGCGCAGGGTATAGGATGATTGCTCCAGCAGTGGAGAATCAAAGGGAACGGCTTCATGGACAATATATAGTGGTTTGCAGGACTGGGTTTCTAAGACTAGGAATACACATAGGCTTACTTCTCCGAAGTGGGGCGTTTTGCAAGGAGCTTATTTCGGTGTCAGTGCTTTTAATCGTATTCTCGGGAATATTCCCCTGGGGCTGCCACTCATGATTGCTGTCGTTGTTATCAAGCTTATCCCAAATGTTCGCGCAACAGATTGAGAAGTCATGTCGACGTGCGCAAAACGGCGACAAGTGTCTGTATGACATGGACAGCCTTCCAACTACAAAGAAATCTCCATATGTGCAATTGTTTACGGTAGACAGCTTTATGCTGGACCTTGTTTTCAAACACAAGTTTTTTTGTAGTTTATCCCGATTGCACAGGATGACGGCCTCTAGCAGGCTTGCCATGTTTGTCATTGTTTTTCCTACGTCCTGTGCATCCTTGAAGCGTGCACCCTCAATCCTGCACCTCTCCACCGCATCTCTAGCCTGATCTACTTGCCTTGAAAAAAGCATGCGTTTGTTTTTGTATCAGGCAAAAGCGTTGCTTGGTCGACGTTGGACCCGGTTGCCCTTTTAAGCCTCCAAGCCCTGAACTCTCAAGCCAGCTATGCCCCAGAGCACCACTCTACACCACTGGTTCAAAACACTAGCTAGCGGCTAGGGTTATCGTCTAGGGATTCAGCTGTGGTAGGGACAATTGCCAGGTCACGCTACTCACAGAGCAGCAGGATGCTCTCATGCCCCTTCCTCAGAGCTTTGACACAGAATGCTTTCGGTTCTGGCTCGCAGAGACTTTTTGCAGAGAGGAGACAGATAGCGAAGGAGGGATGAACACAAACATCGGGGTTTGGTAATGAAGCACTTCTTTCATAACTTTCCACCAGTGTTCATCCCGAACTACATTTTGATCCTTGCGGGTGTAGACGTGTCTTAAAGGAGCTACAGACGCCCGCCACATCCCAACTGCCAGAGCCCTGCTGCATGCATGCAATTGTCCCCCCCCCCCTTGTTGGTCTTCTTCACGTATTCCTGTTTGCTGTTGGTCCCTCGCCGCTCTTGGGTTCCCGGTAAGGACTGTCAGCACATTTTGTCAGTTGACCTTGTCAAGCCTCGCTGCAGAGTTCATTGTTCCGAGGTGTGCATATAGACATACACATGTATGCCCGGACGCTCTCTAGTGAGGCAGCAGCTGAAGTCGGACGTTGCGCAGATGAGCAAGATCCTGTACAGCTTCGAGAACTGGAGCTGCGAGGACTGCTTGCTTTGAGACTGTCGCTCTTCTTGTGTTTGGATGGCATGGAATGAAGGAATATTTTTATCTGAGAACTATGGGGGGATCACATAATTGTGTAAGGACTACTGGAGGGATTGTTCCACGTAGGCAGCTATCATTATTCCAGTGCGGGCCGTTTGCGGATTAGAAGAGGATTTACATGGGCATCGGGCGCCAAATTTGACATCCACACATCCGTTTGAGGTTTTTTGGAAGGGGTGGCAAAGAATGAGTCGACTTAAGGCACTTCATGTGCCACCATCAGTTTGGCACCAAAGAAGTCTTGCATGTAGCTCACACAGAAAGTTGGAGCATCCCTGCCTGTTGCTTGCCCTCATTGAGGGCTGCGGTTGCCTGCCGCTGAAATGTTCTTGCAGGATTCTTTGTTGTGATTAGCCCCCATCGGCTCCTGGAATCTGTGAATATTAGATCCCACTTAGAGTGAAGCCTGGTGTGGCCAATCGTTAGTAACTTCCATGTATCAATTGAGATGGACTTTGATGCAGGATGAGTTTTCTGTCTCAGATCGCGCTCCGCTAAATGAGCTTGAGGAGATAGGCGTCGATCTCAGATGACGTGCACCTAACATTGGCAAACTCTACGGTCATGTGGCATACTCCCCACCTTGAAGCAAGCCTGTTCCAACATGTCCAATGCTACTTCCCCAAGATTGAGCCATCTTCAAGGTGCCTTAAACTACGCCATAAACCCCCAATTCTTAAGAAACCACCTATGCGCTAACAGCATTTACATGTTAGTAATTACTCGGGGCTTATCTTGCAGTCAGTTGACTCGTTGGTG